AATAATTATCCTTCTTCCCTTAATGTGTTGCCAACAGAATCACATACTCGAGAGGATGTGACCTGATGTTAATAATCAAAGAAATTATCCAATTAAAGAAGCACTGATCAGTAACTGATTGATATGAATGACAACAAAGTCAAATACTGTGTCTCATATTTGGCATGTCAGATTAGTCATGTTGGCATCAGCATGAATCTTGGAATGTCCACAGAATTCCAGGTTTGTATGTTAAATAAGTGAAAGTATGAAAATGCTCACATAGTTTTGGGCCTGCATTATTAAACATGCATTAGCTTGATAAACAGGTTAATAAGTATAACAGGTGAACACTAATCGCTGAACACTGCCGTTACATCTTTCAGACCCTCTTATATCACATTCAGCTCCTCAGTTTGGTTCAACACTCCATTCAAGCCTGCAGCCTCATCACTTCTGCAACCATTGAACATGAGAGCACATCACACATATTATTTGCCTAAACTCCATATTGACTTTTCCAAAGTGCTTAATTAAATTATGTAGCCTGCTTTTCTTGTTCACACTTAGACAAATTTATATGCTTCAGTCATCCTCTCTTCCACTGACTGTGACTGGGCACAAAAAGAAAATTTTAATTATATGTGACCCTTCTTATTGGGTGTTCGTCCGCCCTGGTCAATGATGGACACCAAGTTGGAATGATGCAGTTTTATTTGCCTGTAATGAGTAAGGCAACCACAGTTTAAGTCTCTGTTCATGCTTCGGCCAGCATACAACATGGCAGCGTGCAAACGCTCTACTGCCCAAAGAATACATTGGTCCAAATATATTTACAAAATTACCAATGACATGAGAGATATACATTCATGAAAATAATACAATTACCTTTACAAATTACTATGATTGTATAGTGGTGAAAGTGCTTGTGTTTCCATATTATATTCAGTTTTTAGATTTATAGTTTACATTTTACATTTCCATCAGTGTCAATATGAATTATATTTTATAGCTACATCATCCTTTTTCAATTAGTGAAACATCAACAAAAAGGTAAAATATAAAAATAATGCCATCTGGTGGCGAACACAAAATATCGCATCCAGACCACATGGTGCAAGAATAAGCTAGTTAAAACAGCTAGCATTGCTGTACTCATTGATACTGCTCTAAAACACATTAAAACGTGAATATAACATACCTGTAATGAGTAAGGCAACCACAGTTTTAAGTCTCTGTTCATGCTTCGGCCAGCATACAACTAAAGAAACAGGCTAACGTTAGCACAGTTCAGTTCAGGTTTAGCTTCGAATTCATAACTCTTTAAATAAAGCGTTTTGGAAAAGCCCAACTGGGTGTACTGGTTTCTATTACATGTATTTCAAGCCAGTAGGGACAGAAGTCGAATATTACAACACTTTACATAGTTATTTGCAGTTTTGCTGAGCTGAATATACAATATATATATATATAGGTGCTATAATACGCTGACCCATTTAGTAGGAATTTCATAACATAACATTAATACAACTATTGTTCATCGTTACATATATACAACATTTTCTTACACAGAAAAACTATTAAATCCTAAAACAGAAAATTCAAAAGTAAGAAAAGTACAGGTGCTTACAGTGAATCAAATGTGCAAGAAAACAGGAATTTCTAAATATGGATCAAGTTGGGGTAAATTGGAAATCTTCTGGTAGTTCAGTATATCCTCACCATGTTTGGTTATTACTGTAGGAGGTACGTCATACTGCCTTGTATAGTTTCAACCATTTCTTGCCCCAACACACCTGATCCAGCTCATCAGCCAATTATCAAGCCCCTCATAGGCTGGATCGAGTGTGCAGGGGGCAGCGAGTACATAAAGCTTTTCAACACACTGGAGTTGAAAATGACCAGTCCAGTTGGTTTTATATTCGGCAAGCAGTTAAAGGATTTAACATGCTTGCCGATTGTTTAAAGTGGGTTAATGAATGCACAGAAATTAAACCTACTATATTGCCAAAAGTATTCGCATATTAGTATTCGCTCGTCTGCCTTCACACGCATATGAACTTGAGTGAGATCACATTCTTAATTTATAGGGTTTAATATGATGTCTGCCCACCCTTTGCAGCTATAACAGCTTCCACTCTTCTGGGAAGGCTTTCCACAAGGTTCAGGAGTGTGTTTATAGGATTTTTTGACCATTCTTCCAGAAGCGCATTTGTGAGGTCAGACACTGATGTTGGACGAGAAGGCCTGGCTCGCAGTCTCCGCTCTAATTCATCCCAAAGGTGTTCTATCGGGTTAAGGTCAGGACTCTGTGCAGGCCAGTCAAGTTCTTCCACACCAAACTCACTCATCCATGTCTTTATGGACCTTGCTTTGTGCACTGGTGCGCAGTCATGTTGGAACAGGAAGGGGCCGTCTCCAACTCTTCCCACAAAGTTCGGAGCATGAAATTGTCCAAAATCTCTTGGTCTGCTGAAGCATTAAGAGTTCCTTTCACTGGAACTAAAGGGCCGAGACCACCTCCTGAAAAACAACCCCACACCATAATCCCCCCTCCACCAAACTTTACACTTGGCACAATGCAGTCAGACAATTACCGTTCTCCTGCCAACCGCCAAACCCAGACTCATCCATCGGATTGCCAGATGGAGAAGCGTGATTGGTCACTCCAGAGAACACGTCTCCACTGCTCTAGAGTCCAGATGCGGCGCTTTACACCACTGCATTTGATACTTTGCATTGCGCTTGGTGATGTAAGGCTTGGATGCAGCTGCTCAACCATGGAAACCCATTCCATGAAGCTCTCTATGCTGTTCTTGAGCTAATCTGAAGGCCATATGAAGTTTGGAGGTCTGTAGCGATTGACTCTGCAGAAAGTTGCTGACCTCTGCGCCCTATGCGCCTCAGCATCTGCTGACCCCGCTCTGTCATTTTACGTGGCCTACCACTTCGTGGCTGAGTTGCTGTCGTTCCCAATGGCTTCCACTTTATTATAATACAACAGATAGTTGACTGTGGAATATTTAGTAGCGAGGAAATTTCATGATTATTATTATTGTAATAATAATAATAATAATAATAATAATAATAATAATGTAGCACTCCAGCTCTTATGTAGCCTATAAAATAGAATAATTTTGCTGGGGTCTTATAAAACATCTAATAAAAATAATTTATTAGGAGAAGTAGAAGTAGAACTTAGTAGAAGTACCTTAAAATTTTATACACAAATAAATAAATTAAACATCACAATATGTTAAAAAGTCATAGCAACAAGTAATCCTGTTACCCTAAGACAGAGTAACAAAGTAAAACATGCATCAGTCAAATAAGAAGATTACATTTATATGGTAGGTAAAACATTAATTAAAATGTATTTTTAAAAGTTTTTATAGAACAAAAGTTAAAGGAAAAAAATTATATCGAACATCAAAAGTAAGATAGATTAAAATAGAAATATGAATAAATAAAAGGCCACATGATAAATAAAACATTTCAAGCCTGATGTGTTAACATGTTCTGGAGTAATTACTTGCAATTTTAATTAACTGTAATTAAGGTTACTTTTTTCAGTGTATGTCGATCAATGAATCAGCTGATATTCAATATATATACAGACTGCAGCATCCAAGATCTCCCACATTGCCAGAAAGACTCAGGCTTTACTGGTCAAACCTTCCTAGTGAAACTTTAGATAGCTTTTGCCTCTACATCACCAGGGGATCTCAGGGCTTTTCCGGTCACCCCGATCACTGACCAACTAAAATCCTAAAAGGATTTTGTTCTAAAACACATTATAGAGCTCTGTCAAAATTTTCTTTTGCTCATGATAGACATTGTTGGCCTTTATGCATACTCATTATTAATCCTGCTGTCTTCTTGTGGTGAAAAAAAATATGTTAAAATGAACAAAACAAAGTTTCTGTAAGATTAATACAATCATTCATGTAAAAGCACTAAGTAAAAGTAAAAAAGTATTAATTTGAATGAAAAATATATGTCTTTATTAAATTATGAAACGTTCTGTCTCAATTATTATATTGTCCTCACGCTGTACATTCTGTTTTACAAAACAATCAATGTCAAGACATTCCTGTAGTCAAATAAGTAAAATATCTTTAACTGTGTTTAGTTTTTAACAACATAACAGTCTTTCTGTGTTACTATATTTGATATATTATGACTAAGATCACTCTGTGTGTGTGTCTGTGTGTGTGTGTGTGTGTGTGTGAGATAGATATCAGTGTGTGGATCAGCTCTCTGCAGGTGCAGCATTAATGCTGTATTACACTGGAGTGTTTCCTCTCTCTGAAGTCAGTCTCCTGTATGTTGGTGTGTTTCTCACCACACTGCTGTGAGCGTCTCTCCTCACACACACCTCTAGAGACAGAGGTGGAGTTCTGTTCATCAGTGCTGACGCTCTTTTGATAAATATGGAGAAAGAAAAAAATGCCTCCTCTGATTTGTCACTGAAAATGTTTGATGATTTCTTCTTCTCTTTCTAATAAGGTCATAGTGAGTGTGATTGGCAGCTGTGGGGAGCTCTCTCTCTCTCTCTCTCTCTCTCTCTCTCTCTCTCTCTCTCTCTCTCTCTCTCAGTTTCTTCAGTCTCTCTGGGGGAGTGGAGGTGAAGCTTGTCCTGCTGCTGAGTTGGAAGGACTGTGTGCAGGTCAGAGGGAGCTGGACAGCTGTGTGGCTCTCATTCTTCTGTCCTCCACAATCACACTCACCACAGCTTGTAAGTACTCACTGATCAAAAATTTTAAAGAGTAATCAGTGTATTAAACACTAGTATGAATTCAACTGTATTTGTTCACATCAGAACATATGAAATTACATTAACAGTGAGTAGAGACATTAATGCAACAGCTGCCTGAGGCCACATACGGTCCTTACTGTATCCTCAGCTGTTTATATTGTTTTCTTTTGTCCTTTCTTATTTAGACAGTGTGAGGTTGGTGGATGGTGGGAGATGCTGTGCTGGGAGAGTGGAGGTTCATAACAATTATCTGTGGGGAACAATGTGTGATGATGGCTGGCACATTACAGATAGTGCAGTAGTGTGTAGAGAGCTGGGCTGTGGTGAAGTTGTGGATATACCAGATAATTCTTTCTTTGCACCCGGATCAGAAGTGTTCTGGACATATGGACTGGCCTGTGATGGATCAGAGTCTACACTGAACATATGTGGAGGAAGAAATATGAATTTCCAGCTTCCTAACTGTGATCATACTAATGATGTTGGAACAATCTGTTCAGGTAAGTTTTACCATCCCTCTGTCTGAAGTGAAATCAATGTTCATTTGTGTGATTTCTGTGTATATATTTATATATTTGTGTGTATATATATATATATATATATATATATATATATATATATATATATATATTTATATATATATATATATAGATATATATATATATATATATATTTATATATATAGATATATAGTCGTATCTCTAATAGGGCTCTCGCTTAGCCAGCCACTCACCAGGACCAGCGTTGCTTAGCTTCATAGATCAATCAAGCCTAAGTTTTCCCAGCCCCATAGAGCCACCAGCTTCTTAGAACATAGATAAAATTAAAATATATTATGTGAAATAAATATTATATTAATAAAATATTATAGTATCATGGCAGCATGGTGGCGCAGTGGGTAGCGCTGTCGCCTCACAGCAAGAATGACCTGGGTTCGATTCCCGGCCGGGCAACCAGGGTCATTTCTGTGTGGAGTTTGCTTGTTCTCCCCGTGTCTGCGTGGGTTTCCTCCGGGTACTCCGGTTTCCTCCCACAGTCCAAAAACATGCAGTCAGGCTGTTTGGACATGCTAAATTGCCCCTAGGTGTGAGTGTGTGTGTGACTGTGTATGTCTGTCTGTCTGCCCTGCGATGGACTGGCGTCCTGTCCAGGGTGTATCCTGCCTTCCGCCCAATGACAGGTGGGATAGGCTCCAGCACTCCACCGTGACCCAGAAAGATAAACGGTTTAGATGATGTATGTATGTATTTGTGTATATGATATATAGTATCATATACAAAATTATTATTATATAACATTAAGAGACATGTAAAACATTAAATTTATCACAACAAAGAGAAGATGTAAAATGCATGAACTGTAAATGGTAGTAAATGAAATGTATGAAATTTTCATCTAAAACTCAATGAATCTGAGTATACTGTGAAAGATATTTCCCCAGTGTCTGGTAGATTTTTAAAAATGTTTTTACAAAGAGTTAAAATTGGAGGTGCACTTTTTAAAGGAAAACAGTTGTAGGCCTGCCTAATTGAAGGTAAAACACTTTGCTCTTACTAAACATTTATAGCATTAATCCTTTCTCATCAGCCAGATTTCAATAGGTCAGATATACTAAACCATATCAAATTGTAAATATTTCTGCCTAATTATTTAATTTATTTTCAAAATATCTGAATGATAATGCAGTGCTGGCATCATATATCATCTACTTTATCATCTATCTATTTAATACTTTTAGAAATCAGCATGAAACTAGCAAGAAAAATGACACAATTTTTTTTTTTTTGAATATTGATTTTTATACCCTTTTATAATTGTAACTTATTGTACCTCAAATTGACATTGTACTATGTGATGCACAACAATGTGTTTGGATTTGTCACCCATTTTATGCAGTCCTACCAAGCAATGGAAAAAAAACAACACTCACTAGACTGTTTTTCCATAAGATCATACTGACAAAAATCAGGAAAAGACAGGATACTGCCATAATGAGCGGAGGCACAGTGTGTGAATAACAGCCGGGAGCCTCTCAGCAATTAACACAAAAAAGAATATCACCAAGTTTCATCAAACTGTATAAGGGGAATGTTAATCTGATAAAAGGTTTGAATAAAACGTGAGGATATTCTTGTGTAATTTGAGATTCCTCCAAAATAGAAATTTAAAAAAAAGAATACGAATGATAAAAACAAAGGACATTTAACCAATTATATATTTGATGTAGTGTTTATTAATGAAATAAGGTTTTAAAGATCAAGCCCATTTTTATAAAAGGTCAAAATTAGTATATTTACTGTATATCAGTTTTAGGAGAACATTGTTTTCTATGTCTCTAATCTTAGAGGTCCGGCTGGTTGGTGGTTCTCACTGTTCTGGGAGAGTGGAGATGCTTCATGGAGAGACCTGGTCCACAGTGTGTGATGCTGACTTTGACCAGCAGGATGCAGAGGTTGTGTGTCGAGAGCTGGGCTGTGGGCTTCTAAAAATGTTTGGGTATTGAAGACACAAACTGACCTAGCTTTAAAAGTCGAATTTTGTGACATTCTTCAAGTCTTTAGCTGCACAACTGTGTATTCTGTTGTGTTTTACACACGTTTTCAATAGGAGACAGGCCTGAACTGCAAGAAGGTTAATCTAACACCCACTCATTCTGATAACTCTGCCATGCTGTTTTAACATCTTCAGAATATAGTCTGGCATCACCATGTTGAAATAAGCATGAGCATCCCTGAAAAAGACGTTGTCTAGAAAGCAGAATATGTTGCTTAAATTGTGTTCAGCTTTAACAGTGTCTTTACAGATGTCTTAGTTACCAAAAATACACCCCCCTACCATGACAGACACTGGCTTTTTAATTTTACACTGATAATGATTTCCAGATACTTCAGATTCCACACAGTGATATCACTTTCTCATATGGGAAGTTGACCTGTGTTTAATCTCATATATATTCCCCCAGTGAATCATGAATTCAGGCTGACCATTTAAGTGCTCCTAATCGCTCAGGTGAACATTAAAACATAAAATAGAAATAGAAATATCTGTCTGTTAGTTATTCACCCTTAAGAATTTTTAGGGCTGCAAATTTAAAACAACATCCAAGTTAACATTTCCTACAACATCTGGCTTCATTTTTTAAATATGCAAGAAAATATTTGCTGTTTTGGTGAAATTGGCAAATTATTTTTACTGTGCTACAATGTGCATACACTTAAGGATTGTCAGGTGTCAGTATCAGTTCTTTGACTAAGCAAACAGACAGAATTTAAAGGTACTAATCATCTTACTGTGCACTATACCAATAAAAATACAGTTTATTTACCGACATACACAAAAAATAACTTTTTTAAAATTGTCATTGATGTTTTGCATAATTATGAAATTTTGAATGAAGTAAAATAATTAAGTCTTACTAAACCTTAAATTCAAAGGAGGACACTGTCAAACACGTTGGTCTAAAATTACACTGAAGTTATCATCTTCTGACGTCCCCTCTTAGCAAGATGGCATTTTCTTGACTTCAGAAGAAAAAGTAATATTCCTCTCCCATTTCCTAAAACCTGTCACTGTTCAGCATTGCTCGGTATAAATTTCAACATTTATAACATGTTCATAGTGAGAAAACACCCACAAACAGAATCAGTCACAGGCACAGGAAAAGACAGATGGAAGACATATTGGAAGTTATGTCAGCAGTAGTTGGATGTGTTGAGTGTATCAGTCGCTGTGCTGGTCAGGTTTGTTTAGCTAGGGTTTACTTGTGCATTGGCACAAAAACTGTGTGAAAGTTCAAGTGGGTGAGTGAAACTGTATGACCGAGTGCGCTGTGCTTTTTGCCAACTTTGTGTTCAACCTTGACATGTTCTTAACTTTCCTCTCACTGTAGGCTCTGTTTCATTCCTGTGTTTTACTGAAAAGCACATTTAGCTGGATTCACCCAACATATTGTCCACATCTCTACCAATCCAGTAGCACTGCGTGAGGGACATAGAGACACACTACAGACGTGTGTTTTTGATCATGTTTGCATCAAAAATGTACATACAAAAGAAAAACCCCTTTATCAGAAAGGAAAGAAGTTCAAGTGCTGATTCTGATAATGAGATTATAATATTGGCTCTGATAATTGGTCAGTATTAGAAACCATGGCAGTACTCAGCATAATGAATTACAAGAGAAACAGGTGAAAGACATTAATATTCAGGTGACAGTGACAGTGTGTCATCAGTCACATGAAGTTCCTGGATATTTCAGAGCCAGAGGGATGCGTGACACAGCCAGAGCTACTTTTTCAAAGTATTGTGACGTTGAGGTTCTCCACAAGAAACTCAGTGAAGTCAAGGGTCTGGTCCATAGCTGTATATTGACTCAAAACAACCAGGATATTTTTTTCTTTTTGTAAAACCCACCAACACTTTTGAAATAATGCTTAGCCTGTTTAGCTCACCTAAACCAGACTCAACATTTCTTTCTTTTATTTAACTGACTACATTACATGGCAACGGCACAGTATTTCGCCAGGTTCGGGGCATGCATTTTCAAAAGCATCAGTTCTGAAGTCTCCCTCTCTCTCTCTCTCTCTCTCTCTCTCTCTGTTTCTCTCTCTCTGTCTATGTTGTACAGCCAGTGTGAGGTTGGTGGATGGTGGCAGTCGCTGTGCTGGGAGAGTGGAGGTTCTTCATAGAGGACAGTGGGGAACAGTGTGTGATGATGGCTGGGATTTGAAAGATGCTGCAGTGGTGTGTAGAGAGCTGGGCTGTGGAGAGGCTGTAGATGTACTGAGTAATGGTCACTTTGGACCAGGATCAGGACCAATCTGGATGGATGGTGCAGATTGTAGTGGATCAGAGCCCACACTGAAAAACTGTAGGTCAAGAAGATGGGGCACAAATAACTGTGATCATAATAAGGATGCTGGAGTCATCTGCTCAGGTAAACTAAACTATACATACGTTATACAAACTATACATATGTTATAGGATGAAAAACCTCATATCTACAAAATGACAACTTTACAGGAGCAGGAAAAAACATACTTTACTTCTAATGTAAGTCAGTGGTACCAGACTTTTTTCCAAGTAATTTTGAGTTATTTCAAATTATGTAAAAAAAACTGAAAAACAACAAAAATTGAGATTTTTGGAGGTTTTCTTCTGACAGCATCGATATATATAACTTTAGACTGTGTTTTACAGCTATTTAAAGGATTTAGTACATAAGATTTATCAAATGTCATCAAAAATATTCTTTTTTTTCTGAAAATATTATAGGTGTCAGGCTGGTTGGTGGTTCTCGCTGCTCTGGGAGAGTGGAGATTTTTCATGGAGAGACCTGGTCCTGTGGAGGTGCTGGGAGCAGCTGCTTTTGGCAGAGGAGCTTCAGTGTAGAGGCAACGAATCTCAGATTCACTTCTGTCCAAAATCATCTTCACTCAACCACTGCTCCCACAACAATGACATAGCATTGGTATGTGCTGGTAAGACTTGTATCCTCCACAGTTAATCTCATTTCTGGGCTACATTTGTGAAAATACGTAGTATCAAGTTATGTGTTATGCATCACATGTTATTTGCAGTTCTCTCTCTGTGTGCTCAGTCAGTGTAAGGTTGGTGGATGGTGGCAGTCGCTGTGCTGGGAGAGTGGAGGTTCTTCACAGAGGACAATGGGGAACAGGGTGTGGTCAAGGCTGGGATATGAGTGATGCTGCAGTGGTGTGTAGAGAGCTGGGCTGTGGAGAGGCTGCAGATGCACTGGGTACAGCTCACTTTGGACCAGGATCAGGACCAATTTGGATGAATGATGTGAACTTCAGTGGATCAGAGTCTACACTGAAGAACTGTAGATCAACAGGGTGGGGAACAAATAACTGTAATCACAGTTCAGATGCTGGCGTCATCTGCTCAGGTAAACTACGCAAACATTTAGAAGACTTTTTTTGAATTTGATTCTTTATTGCTTCGTTCAAGACTTGCCTTCACATGTCTTTTCTTCTTTGTTTGCTTCTTATATTATAAATTACAGTATTGTTTTCAGGAACATGACAGATCAGTTTTTACCATCAACGCTTGGTTTATTTCCAGACAGCCTCACCATTTTGAAGAAGTCATATAGAACAAAATTAGAAAAACTAAGGAAGTTCTTATTTGTTAGTTGGGACACCAGCTGAGTAGGAGTAAATTACCAGAATGTAGTCAACTATACCAACTATGCCCACTTTGAGATCCCTTATATGGAAATTGACAATATTAGACTAAAAACCTTTACCAATATGTTCTTGGGGAGCTCAACAGGCAGCCAACACAAATAAACCTAAAAAGATTAATACTACTATAATAATAATAATAATAATAATAATAATAATAATAATAATAATAAAAGTATTTAAAACAGAATATTAAAAAAATGAAAAGTAAAAGACAGCGTAACAGTACACATGATGTGACAGAGTGGCACGTTCTTAAGGTTTATCCTAATTGTGAAAACTGACTTTTTTTTAAAGACAAAGTAACACATTGAGTGGGGGGGAGAAAACACTTGCAAGTCATCCCTGCAGTTAACAGTAACTCAACTCTTCTCTCAACCAACAGCAGCTCCATGCCTACTACACCACAAAAATAAAACAAAACAGTTGTCTATATCTAATCAAGAAGTTAGAGTTTCAAAAAAGATAGTTGAACTGTTAACACTGTAGACTCATTTGCAGCCGCTGAACCCAGCAGATTTCCAATACATCCACCCACACACACACTATCACAATACGCACAATTTGGGAGCCATCTGATGGATGGTGACTTTTCTAGCCCTGTCTCTTTATTCATAAAGGAGAAAAATACCACAACTTTATAAATAGCAGTATAATGAAACACAATTACCATATGGTAGTCAGATATCCACAAGATAAACACACATGCATATCAATTTCAAGATTGTTCAACATTTATTTATATAGAGCTTTTTACAACAGGCATGATCACAAAGCAGTGATCACAAAACTCTCTAAGAGCAAGAAAAAGAAACCTTGAGAGGAACCAAGACTCAAAAGGGAAGGCCATCCTCCTCTGGTCAACAACAGATAGCAAAACTCAACAAGAGCAGTGTAAATAAAGGATAATCTGACAATTATATACATCAATAAACATAAAAAAGAAAGGATCCAAATCACAAATGAGAAATAGATCTTTGAAAAACAGGCACTACTGTTGGAGTCTATCATAATGGCATATTAGTATGCATTTATGAATAACACAGTATAGTAGGCTGATGAACAATGTGATTGAATAGCTCACATTTATGTCCATGTAAAGGATGGGCAGATGTTCAGCTTGGAAGAGACATAGTTAGTCCTATTTAAGGTGATTGGACACCATATATTAATTAATATAGCACTAGCAGAGACTCTGTCTATTACGGTCTAACTGAAAAGGGAGAGCCAGAAGGTAGCAGAGACATGAAGGCCCTCCAGGATGTCAGCGACCCTCCAATCCACAGTTAACAAACCTGAGTGAGCACATATGAGCGTCAGGATTTAGCATAATACTCTATGTCCATGAAACCCACTTTTATCCAACTCAGAAACTCATTACCAAAGACTTGATTAAACAAGTAGGTTTTTAGCCTAATCTGAAACTGTGTCTGAACACCAACTGGAATGTTATTCCACACTGGTGGGCTTTGTATGAAAAAGCTCTACCTCCCGCTATAACTTTTTTAATTAATTTGAGGTACTTTTTTAATTAATTTGTGCAGTTTTCCTGCACGGTTGTGACAGTGAGAGTAAGAAGTGGACGGAAGCTCTGATTTAACTGTAAACAGAGCTGAGATGCTGTATGTTGTTTTTACTGCAGTTCTGCTGCAGCTGCTTCACATCAAGCCGTCTCTGTCTTTGTACAACACGCGATTTCGGTAATCTTCTGTTTTCAAAAGAAAGAAGAACTTTCATATGTAGCATGAATTTTATAGACTCTGTTTATATTAAGCTAGCTATACTGGCTAGAAGCTATTGCTAACCAAACTAGCCCGGCTAATATAAAGCAGCTTTTTCAGATGTTTTTTTTCAGCTAGGAGTCGCGTTTTTGACTGAGCAGTGAAAGGTGGATGTTTTCTGAAGTGCTGCTTCAAAAATCACCATGAAACTAAGAATAATGCTGTTTGGCAGATCGCTAACATAGCTAGCGTTAGAGCTAACATAGCTTTAACGTTTGATGCTCATACGAAGCTGGTGTTCTTCAAACTGCTAATGGTAGGCTAGCTAATTAGCGACTGTAGCCTGCTAGCCTACCGTAAGCTAATACAATTTAAACGAGGTCTGTAAAATAGACTTTACATATAAAAGTTTTTGTTTGTGTTTATGTCAGAAGTCACTGCATCCTGTAGCTAAATGCGTCACAGAACCTGCTCCACGTTAGCCGGCTGGTGCCAGCAGCTGATGAAAGCTAACTAGCTTCCTTATTTGGGAATACAGAAAAGCAGTAATTAATGGTTAAGTAAGAGGAATTTAAGTAAAAAAGAACACCATTTTTGCCTTTTATACGGTATGAACTGCTCTGCGTCTGATTCATAACAATTTTGTATGATGTGGAAACAAGTGGAGATTTGAGCATAAATGATAAATCAGCTTCAGTGCATGAAACCCGCACTACCAGCACCTCATTTACATATCATTTACATGAAGCACAAACTAATTCATGCAGATGTTTCAGTAGCCAGCCAATAAAACGGCAGTGTTTGGCATGAAAGCTAATGGCCGTGCTCGTGGGTGGAAGTTGATGTCCAGCAGTGAGTGCACTCCTCCCCTGCTGACCAAACTTAATAGTATTAAAATGAAAACAACTGGAAAAGATAAAATGTGAAATAAAACAAAAATACTCAGTGTTGTTAACATAGTAGAGTGATTGTTTAGTGTAGTTAATTCCCTAAAATAAACGCTGTATTATTGCAGTGTATGACCGAAGCTGTGTTTGTGAGTCAGTAGTATGAAACAAAAGCACAGTGTAATGTGTCTTTAAATGGAACATGAAATAGTTGCAGCACTTGTTTATATCAATGTGCATGTAAAGTAAGTACATCCACTTTTGTACTGGACTGTCATGCACACAAATTAGTGTTATTGAAATTTTCTATTGTTGTTCTTATTTTTGCAATTACAGATTATGTTGATAATAGTTTTGGTTAATTAGCCACATATCCAGCATTTATGTTATAACTGGGATATGAGAGACGCTGCAGTGGTGTGTAGAGAGCTGGGCTGTGGAGAGGCTGTAGATGCACTGGGAGGAGCTCATTTTGGACAACGATCAGTACCAATCTGGATGGATAATGTGGACTGTTTTGGAACAGAGTCCACGCTGAAGCACTGTAGATCAGTAGGATGGGGTAAACATTTCTGTAGTCACCGTTGGGATGCTGGAGTCGTCTGTTCAGGTCAGTTACAGTCTGTCTATTCATCCATGATAATAGGTTATTTCATCATTATTATAATATATCAAATACATTTTAATGAATAGTTTTAGTTAAATTAACTTGGCTCAAATTCACTGGTGGTTCTTCAAGGGGCTGAGTGTAACAAGTGTAGCTGCATTACTAGGTGTTTTAATAAATGAAAAATTATTTATTTACCCCAGTGTCACTACTTGGTTGAGCATAGTCTGCCAACCAAAAATATCCTGCCAGCAGTGGTTTTATGGTCAGAAACTGACCACTGATGAAAGGCTAGCCTGGGATAACTAACACAAAGTGTGAATGGAACATTCTCTTGTTAGTCTTCCTTGACAACTTTAGGGCTGTGTAGCTTCTATGTGATACAAGAAGCCACTTGCAGGACATAGGCAGGTGAGGTGGAATTTTCAGTTGGTATGCATTAGCTCTGGTAGTAAGCACAAAAAAGGAACTAACTTAAGGAGGTTTCCTTAGACATTTGCACACTATGTTTGGAATTTTTATTCATAAATATAGGCAAGAGAATAAAAGCCTGGTAACTGGGAGATGGAACTTAAAATTAGCTTAAGTTCCAGGGGATGAAACACAATAAGCCATGTTAAAAATTATCAAGCTCTTTAAATAAAAAAAGAGTACAGTCACACTTTGCATCTATTAAATTATGTCAAATTTGTCAAGTGGCAAGTTTCTGTAAAGATGTTACATTTTGTACAGGTCGCATCTCCAGGCTTGCTAATGGTTTCCATCTGTGCTCTGGGAGAGTGGAGGTGCTTCATGGAGAGACCTGGTCCACAGTGTGTGATGTTAAATTTGACCCGCAGGATGCAGAGGTTGTGTGTCGAGAGCTGGATTGTGGGCTTCCTGTGGAGGTGCTGGGAGCAGCTGCTTTTGGCAGAGGGAAGGGTCAGGTGTGGTCAGAGGAGCTTCAGTGTAGAGGCAATGAATCTGAGATTCACTTCTGTCCAACATCATCTTCACTCAAACATAACTGCACTCATGACAATGATGTGGGACTGGTGTGTGCAGGTAAAGAAAGAATTTATGTTTAAAAGTGAACATTTTCAATAAAATGTGCCACTGCTTGGCAAATTATATGAACAGTGAGTTGCTCTTATTTGTGTTGATTCCTGTAATGTGATGTTGATTCAGGTCACACGCAGGCTTGGCTGATAAACGGCTCTGACTCCTGTTCTGGTCGAGTGGAGCTCCAGTACCTCAGTGAGTGGGGCACAGTGTGTGATGTAAGCTGGGATATGAGAGCTACCAGTGTCCTCTGTGGTCAGCTGAAGTGTGGGAGTGCTGTGGCTGTGTTGGGGTCAGACTGGTTTGGGGAGGGGAGTGGCCAGATCTGGGCTGATGTGTTTGATTGTCAGGGGAACGAAACACACCTGTCAAAATGTCCCATTTCATCATGGAGTCGAACTGCATGCTCTCATGAACAGGAAGCTGGAGTCATCTGCAGTGGTGAGCTCTCAGAACTGTTTAAACCATCTTATACTAATATCCTGCATGATATGACCAGTAATATGAGCAGTACATGACTGCATATATCTAGGGCCCTCTCAGTTAAATATTAAAAATATTTTAATGAGTTTTCCTCTTTAGGTTCCTCTCTGGCGTTTCATGAGGGGCGAGTGCAGTTGTCTGGAGGGATGGAGTGTGAGGGGTGGTGGAGGTGTACTTCAGGCAGGACTGGAGGAGAGTTCTGCTGGACTCCTGGAGTGAGTCTGAGGCCTTTGTGGTCTGCAGACAGCTGAGCTGTGGCTCTGTGTTCAGCTTCTCCAGCTCCTCTACATCCAGTCCTGAACACAGACACATGTGTGTGACGGGTTTTAATTGTTCTGGGAGTGAAGCTCATCTGGGGAACTGCAGCACCGCACAAGCGGTCAACTGCAGCTCCAGAGAACAGCTCTCAATCACCTGCTCTGGTACAATTTACACCAGTTAAAAAACAAAAGGATATCGAACCCTATCTGATCTGTTTGTTGTAAATATTAATTTCACACAAGATTTATTATATACATAACATTACATACGTAACTTTATTATGTGGAAGAACAGTCAACACAGTGTTCTCAACCTAAATTAGCTATCAGAATAATATAAGGTGAATTACTGGTGAATTATGTGCTTTTGTATGTCCATTTGTCTGTCTGTCTGTGTGGAGTGTAGGTCAGTTTAATTCAGCTCACAGCTCCATCAGGCTGGTTGGTTCTGGGGGAGACTGTGCAGGAAGGCTGGAGGTTTTCCACAGCGGCTCATGGGGGACAGTGAGTGATGACTTGTGGGACATTAAGGATGCGCAGGTGGTCTGCAGACAGCTGCAGTGTGGAGTGGCCTTCAGTACTCTGGTACAAGCCCAGTTTGGACCTGGAACTGGACCCATATGGCTGAATGAGGTGGAGTGTAAGGGGAACGAGGCGTCCCTGTGGAACTGCAGATTTCAGCTGTGTGAAGAGGATGAATGTGGTCACAAGGAGGATGTAGGAGTCGTGTGTTCAGGTAAAGTGATATTGAGGGAGCTAACATTAGTTTAGAAGTATGTTTTAATTAACTCCAGTAAAAAATACTAGTTATTGATGAATTAATCAATGAACAATACCTAAATATACAAATAAATATATTCATTAATAAACTAAAGATAAGACTCAGTACAGGGCCTTCTTCCACCAGAGCCTAAAGAGATGAGACTCACTGAGGGCTGTGAGGGGAATCTGGAAGTGTTCTACAATGGAACCTGGGGTAATGTGTGTTTAAATGGGATGGAACAAGAAACAGTAAGTTTGATTTGTCAAGAGCTGAACTGTGGAAGATCTGGCAGTGAGAGTCCTGCCAAAGCAAGAGTGGAATCAGCTCCTAACTGGCTGGATAATCTAAAATGTAGGAAATATGACTCCACTCTGTGGCATTGTCCATCTTCACCCTGGAGAGAGAACACGTGTGATAATAGCAATGAGGTGGCTCGTATTACCTGCTCAGGTAGGCAGCTTCTAGTAGTTTTGTATATTAATATGAGTGGAATGTGTAGAATGTTTGTTATTTTCTATATGTGCCTACAGTAGAACACTTGATTAATGTGAAATAAAACTGGCTAAAATAGCTACAGAGCTTACACAGCTGGAAAAATAAGGGACTTAAAAAAGTTAAAAACGTACTTAAAAAGAAAAATGTTTCACTAAATATAGTGGATATAGAAACATAATTATCTATATGACAATTATGCAGATTTATTTCTGTATTTAATGAGTCTTTAATATACAAACCATCAGTGTTGTGTTTTTTAAATATTAGCAAGTTTCAGTAAAGTTTTCAGTAAAGCTTCAGTCCCCTGACTTCACCAAGTATTTTGGAAAGAACCCACACATCACATTATTAACAGGGGTTCTCAGTTTATTAATGCATCTTAAGAGATTATTTCTTTTGGTCATATGCATTTTAATCATTTAAATATTTATTCTGAAATAAAACACTGATTGACACTTATTATGAATTGTGAAGTGGGCTTAAAAGGTACAAGGGGCCCATTATGATTATGTTAAAAGATAGGTTAGTCTTTCATTTTAGCGACATAACTAAAAACTGAAAATACGAATGAAAGCTTAGATTTAGGTGGATTTATAAGCAGTTTCATGAATAACAGCCCAATGATTAATGAATTACCTTTTTATACTTACAGAAGAGGAAAATCGTCATGTGATGCAAAGCCATCTGAAATGCTCATCATCTTCTTATCAGAAACAGTGCTCATGTAAGTACACTTTCAAAATAATTTAGTCAGTATTTAATGAACTACAGCAATAATCAAAAGTGAGTGGTTATTATCTTTGCACAATTTTTAAATACTTTTGAATCAGTATGTTTTACTTACAGTAAAAATCTGTATTGCACTATGTAGCTGTATCGTTGATCACATTATCCTCATGTGTGATGCAGATCACCTGCCTCTCAGACTGAGGGGAGGAAATGGAAGCTGCTCTGGAAGGCTGGAGGTGTATCATAGTAAAACATGGGGCTCCGTCTGTGATGAACTCTGGGACATCAGGGAGGCTCAGGTGGTCTGCAGGCAGCTGGGCTGTGAGCCGGCGCTGAGTGCTGATGGGAGTGCTGTCTTTGGTGGTGTAGGGCCTATCTGGCTGAACAGAGTGAGGTGTAGAGGGAATGAGATTCACCTATGGGACTGTCCTCATTCCCTGAAGAACCACACTGACTGCTCCCACAGGCAGGATGCTGGAGTCACCTGTATAGGTCAGAAGAGTCAGCTGGAAGTTTCTGATTCCAATCAAATCGCTTACACAAAACACAATACTATCTTACTGTTATTTATCTGTAGGGTGATTTTAAGCATTGTTGCTTTTAAACAACGTTGTCTAATGTTAGTTTGTCATATTCAGTTTTAAAATTGTAAGAAATCAGAATCAGAACTACAACTTAATACTAAAACTTCAGTGTGTGTACAGTGCCAACCATAATGTTTCGGCCATAGGGCTTCACAGGGGTGTTTAATTAGTCAGGTTTGGTTAATTGCTTCATTTGTACAGGTATAAGAGAGCTTTTCCTGTCAGTAAAATGTGTATGAGTAACAGAATTCATGCAAACAGTCATTGCATGCAAAGGATATGCAGGTTATGGTTGTATTTTGTGTGTGTTGTTGGCTGTTTATTGTTTGTGGGTTTTTTTTCTGTATTTTCAGAGATATCTGTGCCTGCCACTGCTGCACCCACAACAACAATCAACATCACCACCACAGGTGCAATTTTTGTCTCTTTAGTTTCTTAGGTGTTTCTGAACAGGCTATTCAGTGCTCTACAGAGTTTCTGTTCTGTATTGTTATTTGCACTTGGTCAGACAGTGAAGAGAACAATCCCTTCTCCACAAACTCATCCAACTACTGTTCAGTCCATCTATCCAGTGTCTCTCCTGGTTCTGGGATTGCTGCTCTTCCTGGCCTTAGTGATTCTGGTTGTGCTGTTTTACCAGAACAGAGTGCTCAGGAGAGGTAGAGAGATTCAGAGATCATCTACAATCCACTTTCTGTACATTCTCTAAACATCATTAGTCCTTCAGTCTGTCATCAGTCTTCTCTTCTACTGAACTGGCTCCATGTTTCTCTCTGTCTCTCTCACAGTGCTCTTTAAGAGGAGGCGTAAGACTCTGACTGAGGCAGTCTATGAGGAGATCGACCGCAGATACATCACTAAAAGAAATGACTTGACTCAAAGGGGTGACTCATATATGGAATGTTTTACATGCGGATTATTGTATTAAATTAAAGTATATTTACGTCAGAGATAAGAGAACATCACAATGCCTGATCATTGTCAGTGATGAAAACACTACCTTATGTTCTTAAAAGAACTGTGATTTAACAGCTTAACATAAATAACCAACAATTAAAAGTCCTGAATCATTTATTCAGTATAGATTTCTCAGTGTGTTAATAATAAAAGTAAATCAGTTAAATGAGAGTTTAGTGTATGTTAGATTAAATGTGCAGTTGGAGTAGATCTACATGTAGTGTATTGTGTTAATTCTGCTGATAAGCATCTATTAGAAGTAAATAAGTAACAAATTGTGTGAGTGACCGAGTGAGTGAGTGACCAAGAGACCAAGTGAGGGAATAACCAAGTGACCGAATAATTGACTGAATGAGTGTCTGACTGAGTGAATAAGTGACCAAGTGAGTAAGTGAGAGTGAGGGGCCAAATAATTGACCAAGTGACCAACTGACTGAGTGAGTGACCTAGAGACAGTTAATGACTCAGTGATTGAATTACTGAATGAGTGAGTGACCTAAAGACAGAGCAAGTGACTGAGTGACTGAGTGACCAAATGAGTGGTCAAGTGATTGAGTTTTAAGTGTTGTGTCTGAGAGCTCCCTCTAATGGCTGTGCTGCTATTATTCCTTGTAACCAACCCAAATTCACAATGATACACAGCACTCAGAGGATTTTGGGTGATTCTGCATTCTGAGCGTGTTTGATGTTCTGTTCTGCTCTCCTCTAACAGGAAGTATCCTCTCTGAAGAACAGCATTCAAGATATGAGGATGTGGATGAGGAGCTTCTCTCAGGTAAGAGGACCAGAACATGTGTGTGTCAAACTCCATTCAGCTGGGAAATATTTACCATTTAGAAATAAATAGAGTAAATCCAGTATTTGAAATATGGCACCAGAAGTGGGCAATAACTACATTACACTTACTAAGCTACATGTACTCAAGTAAAATGTAGCTGAATTTGTACTTTACTGAGTATTTGCAATGATAATTTATTTATTTTAAATCAAAATAACACCAAAAAAGGAAGAACTGTTCCTATGCTGATAAATGCTAAGTGTACTAAGATCTTTTGATTTTAACATTTTACTTATAAGTTGTTTTGTGGACAGATACTTTTACTTCGACTTGAGCCGTTATTTAACTAAAGTATTAGCATTTCTAAAAGAATTTTGGTTTAGGTCGCTCCACTCATACATTACATTTAGTCTATTTAGTGTCTGTCCAGGTTGTGCTTTTAGTGTATTTCTAGTACCATTGTTGTTCTTTGCTATTTCAGAGTGAAATTCTCTAATGCTGAATCTAGCTTGTTTCTTTGATTTGATTCATGTCTAGATTGGAAGTGTCTGTCAGAAATTATTGCCTCTTTAATTATAATTCAAACACTGTAACTCACAAAATGCTGAGTTTACATTAAAGCTCCTCTGAATGAGTATCTTATTTTTAAATGTAATTAAAAGTGCTCCTTTTCCAGCAAAGTCTCTGATTGGTGTAAAAGCAGGATATTACGATGATGTCACCACCAGTGGTCTGTTAAGTGGGTTCCTTTATTAATTAATCACCAGACTGATTTTGTCTTTACATGAAACCACAGTGTAAAAATAAGATTACACTGTTTGTAAAGTTGGTCTGTTTTTATTTGATTTAGGTGAATCAGCAAAAGAGGACACAGCAGAGAACTATGATGATGTCATCACTGCTGGACAGATCTCTGATATTGTAGCAGGTGTGTTTCTGTTTTGAGGTCTTAGTTTAGAAAAAGGTAGAAGCTACATAGAGATTAAAAATCATTGCAAATGTTATGAAAATGGAATAATCAAGTAATCTGTATTTGTAATGACTTTTTAAATCATTTGTGGAGATTTACTGTCCCCTACAGTCCATATACAGGCAAATATTTAAGTTTTTGAAATATATGCTTATCATGTCCACAAATCTGGCAACAATGTATTTATTAACTTTTTTTATTTTATAATATTTTATTTAAAAAACAAGTACATAAGTCTCTGAGTGGAATAAAACTCACCACCAGTGGCCTGGTAAGTGGACTGCTTTATTAATTTATATTAAAACAGAATATACTTACAGGTTTTACAATACAATATACAAATATTGCCAAAGGTATTCACTCAACTATCCAAATCATTGAATTCAGGTGTTCCAATCACTTCCATGGCCACAGGTGTATAAAACCAAGCACCTAGGCCTGCAGACTGCTTCTACAAACATTTGTGAAAGAATGGGTTGCTCTCAGGAGCTCAGTGAATTCCAGTGTGGTACCATGATAGGATGCCACCTGTGCAAGTCCAGTTGTGAAATTTTCTCGCTACTAAATATTCCACAGTCAACTGTCAGTGGTATTATAACAAAGTGGATGCCATTGGGAACGACAGCAACTCAGCCACGAAGTGGTAGACCATGTAAAATGACAGAGCGGGGTCAGCGGATGCTGAGGCGCATAGTGTGCAGAAGTCGCCAACTTTCTGCAGAGTCAATCGCCACAGACCTCCAAACTTCATGTGGCCTTCAGATTAGCTAAAGAACAGCGTAGAGAGCTTCATGGAATGGGTTTCCATGGCCGAGCAGCTGCATCCACACCTTACATCACCAAGCACAATGCAAAGCGTCAAATGCAGTGGTGACGTGTTCTCTGGAGTGACCAATCATGCTTCTCACTCGGAGGAAAGCGCCAACCGCCAGATCTGTTACGTCAGCTAACAGACGCCTGCGCTGACTAGCATCGCGCTGAGTGATGGGGGGAGAAGGGGGGGCCATCCTACCCACCCAGAGAAAGCGAGGCTAATTGTGCTCTCTCGGACTCCCGGCTACAGATGGCTGTAGCATCACCAGGGATCGCGCTCGCGATCTCTTGATGAAAGGACCAACGCTTAGACGGTTGCGCCAACTTTAACACAACTTTAACATAACTATATATTTCCCACCGTCTCACTATCATCAACTTATCAAGCAACTTAGCAAATGGAGGCTAACCTAGTAAACATAAACAAACTAGCTTGCTAACTCATCTGTACAGCTGTCTGTCTGAAACATTCATATTTCTTATTTTTATTTTTTTTTTTAATATTTTACACTATGTTCACTAGAACTTTAATGTCAATGTGAATTGGAAATCATAACACATTTTCTGTCCATATCATGACATACTTCTGAGCGAAACAGTATCACTGACAGTCTCTCAGATAGCTCAGCATTTTCACTTGATGATGGGTCGGGGTGGTTGGAGGGTGAGCTGAAACGTATTGTTATTGGTTAATATTATTTTCGATGCCCACTGGTGCCCAGTGATGTAATCAGAAATGGCAAGCAAAAGTCAGTACAGTTGATGGAAGATTAAAGGACAACAGGATTTTTGCCTTTTAAATGACATAACATGATGAATTGTGCATGACATGACCAGACATAACAAGGTGAAAATGTCCATTATTATTTCAATAATGGAAGTTGCAGCCTGGAGTACTGAAAAAACAACCTACATGGTGCTCTATTTACTGTTTTTTTGGACATTTTCTGATTGTTGGAATAAGGCGTGCTATGCAGATGTGCTATTTAAGATAAATATACTCATTTTACAGGTTATGATAACATGGAGGAAGAACCTCAGACAGAGATGAATCCACAGCCACAGCCAGTGTCTTTTCTCAGGAAATTACATTCAAAACGCAACAAGTGATTTTGTTAGAGATCACAATTCATATTTTAAGGAGCATAAACATTCCAGCTTTATTCCAGCTTTGCACATCTCAAATAGGATATGGTGGTATTAAACACCAAGTTTACACAAACCAAATATCACAAATTGTCCTTTCACCTTTCACCACTTTCTTTGAAATGTACCAGCCTTAGTGAGCTACACTCTCAATACAGATGTGTCAAAAGCAACATGTAATGCCATTTAATACTAGCAGTGTGTTTTATGTGTAACACAGGCAGTTACAGTCTGTGTTGTATCTAATTTTTTTAAGTTTTATTAGAAATATGTTACTAGAAATAATTCTTTTGCTACTAAATGTTTAATTATATTTTAAGTATATGAACAGTTTTGGCTGAAGACTTTAAATCAAAGAGCTGTTCATTTTTATGGTATATTATTTAAGAGAGTAAAGCTACAAAAGCTGTACAGACAAGCAGTGTAAGTGTTTTACTGTAATAATTTTCAATGAGTTATAAATGTTTAAAAATTAATCATAAAACAAACTGATCGCCCAATACTAATAAAAGTTAATGTAAAAACTGTTTCCTCACTTTTTCTCTCTTATATTATTTGTGAGTCTGTAATGATTGTTTGATTATTAATAGGTGAGATCGTATGCACATAGACTTAATCTCAACTGCAAGTTAAGTTCTGTATATTGAGTTTTTTTAAGTGTGTAATGTATGGGATCTGCTGTAGTCTGAAAGATGATTCTGTACTGTCCTCTCCTCTCTATATGTGGACCAGCAGAAGAACTCTGTACAAAATAAGGTTGATCTGCTTTTGATTCCACCTATGTGGTAAAAATAAATAAATAAATAAAAATCTGCAGAAAAACAACAATATGTGCAAATAGACTATACTCACTGTATTTTGTATTTGACCATTAATTGAAGCTATTAAAAGGGAAATTAGACTTAAACGTAACTAACAGTAGCATCATAAATAAAGGAAAGTATCTCATGGGAGGTAGTAGTAGTAGTAGTTGTTGTAGTAGTAGCAGATTCAAGATAGCACAGGATAAAAATAATGGACTCAGAAAAACACACATGATAGCGAATATGGACACCAGACAATGCACATAATGAAGGTGATGATGATGTTGGACTCAGAACAATGCATTTGGTAATTAAAATGATGATGATGATGATGATGATGATGATGATAAAATTACTCAGGACCACACACAAAATGACAATGATGAACTCAGGACAACACACATGATGATGGACCCAAGACAACGCACTTGATAATGATGATGATGATGATAAGCTCAGAAGAACACACTTGATGATGATGACAAGGATGATGATGATGATGATGATGATGATGAGGAGGAGGAGGAGGAGGAGGAGGAGGATGGGCTCAGAACAACACACGATGTTGACATGGATGATGATGATGATGATGATGATGAGGAGGAGGTGGAGGAGGAGGAGAATGATGGGCTCAGAACAACACACTTGGTGATGATGACAAGGATGATGATAGTGATGATGATGATGATGACACCTAATAGCTGTCTCTGATTCAGTATGTCTCAGAAATGATGTGTTTAGTTTTAGCTCTTTTTGCTGTCTGAGTCTGAACTGATATATGACACATTTTGATGTGTTACTATACTGAGGTAACAAAAAGTACAAAGATGGTATTTCTGAGGTTAAAGATGGAGTTTGAAGGAGAGGGCGTGATGCAGGGCAAACATGAGGATGACAGAAAGTTTAGGCACTTCACAGAAACATATATAAGACAGATCAGGATCAGTGAAAGAGAAAACTGAGAAGACACAACTCTCAGTTCAGTTCAAAAGATGAACCAGATATTACTTTGCCATTTTCCCTTGTTTCTTCTTTCTTTGCATTATAATCTTTTGTTATGACTCTTCAGTCATTTTAAGAATCATTCATCTGTTACTATAGCAGCTGTTTGACATCACTGCCATCTTGTAGAAAAAAAGGTGTATTACAGTGACTAAAACAATGTTTTTGTAAGACTGTGTGTAAAAGTGATAAACAAAATAATTTGGACAAAGGAGTATTGAAATGTGATAAATATTTTATGTTTATTTCATTTTAGAATATTATATAATTCTCATAAATTATTATCATAATTTTCTTGTACTTTACTTTAAAACAATTAAAAAGCTGCATGTTCCTCAGATCAGATCAGTAAAATAACATCTTTGAATGTTATTTATTTTTTAAAACTCTATGAATGATAAACAAATATTCCTGTTTATCTATAATTTAGCTCAGAGCTGTGTGTGTGAGCTGGTTATCGGTGTGTGGATCAGCTCTATGCAGGTGCAGCATTAATGCTGTATTACACTGGAGTGTTTCCTCTCTCTGAAGTCAGTCTCCTGTATGTTGGTGTGTTTCTCACCACACTGCTGCGAGCGTCTCTCCTCACACACACACCTCTAGAGACGGAGGTGGAGTTCTGTTTATCAGCGCTGAAGCTTGTTCTGCTGCTGAGACGAACATACTGTGTGTGCAGGTCAGAGGAAGATGGACAGCTGTGTGGCTCTCATTCTTCTGTCCTCCACAATCACACTCACCACAGCTGGTAAGTACTCACTCTATGCCAGTATAATGTATACATTCAGATTAATTCATCATTTTTTCATCATACTACATGTAATATGCGTATCAACTTACATTGTGTGTGTGGATCAAGTGTGACCAAGGAATCCTCAAGTGATGCCATAGAACACTTTTTTGATTCCCTAAACAACCTTATATGAAAAAGAAAAGAATGAGTGTGAAGAACATTTTAAGTGTTTAAGAACTCTAAAGAAATCTAACGGATGAAAATGTTTCAACTTTTTATTATTTTTTTCTGTATCTTCTTTCTATTCTTTTTACTCATGGTCAATGAAAGTCATTAAAGCGTTGAAAATAAAAAAATATATTACTGCTAGAAATGTAATTAAATATGCAATTATAATATTTAGTACAAACAATAAACTTTCTTTTCTTTCTCTCTTTTTTTAAATTTATTTCTGTCTGTTCTTCTCTCTATGTCTCCGTCATTGTCTCTCTCTGTCTCTCTCCATCTGTCTCCCTCTTTACTTTTAACTGAACGTTAAAAAGGCTTTTCACACTCACGCATCTCATTTGCCAAAAAAAGGAAATGAAAGTGATTATTTTATTTGATTATTTTATGCTTTTATGGAAATAACAATTTTGGCTTATTTGTTCTATTAATGTAATTGCCTGACTGCAAACAATCTTATATTTTTAAAATTATTAAAACATAAAACTACAAATAATTTTTACTAATAGAAATGTAATTAAAAATGTATTTTGGTTTTTTGGTATTATAACATTAAACCATAAACTCTCTCTCTCTCTCTCTCTCTCTCTCTCTCTCTCTCTCTCTCTCTCTCTCTCTCTGTTGTACAGTCAGTGTGAGACTGTGCTGGGAGAGTGGAGGTGTATTGTAATGATCAGTGGGGAACAGTGTGTGATAAGGAGTGGGGTATGACAGATGCTGCAGAGGTGTGTAGAGAGCTGGGCTGTGGAGATGCTCAGGGTATTCCTACGTTTGGTCCAGGATCAGGACCAATATTGCTGGGATCAGTGCGGTGTACTGGATCAGAGTCTACACTGAACAGCTGTTACTTTCTTTCATATTATGGTCAATACTGTAAATCTCATGATCAAGATGTTGGAGTCACCTGCTTAGGTAGGTTGCATCAATCCTGAAAAACAACTTTCATCAAATAGTTATAAACAATAATTATTGTCACTTTAGCTCTTAAAATACACTTAAAATATATTAAAATTTTTGATTTTTCATAGTTCAGTTCTTTGATGAAATAAAAATAAAAAGTCAGTTTTAAATTTTCAGTGTTGTGTCCAAACCTCAAACTGTACAGTCAGATCTAAACATTTAAAATGACATCCGTTCACTTTAATGGAAATCATGTAGGAAAAATTAATGGATGACAAAACAGCTCCACCATTTACCTGCTCTGTGATGTTCTTCCACATACAAACTGAATAATATTTGGGCAGAGACTCAGGTTGATGTCATCATGTCCTTATAGTCAGTTAATTTTATTAGTCAGAGTATCAGGACACATATGAAGCTAATTCCATCTGGCAACTTTAATCTCTTCAATAGTGAACTTGGCTTCCATCTCTGTCCATCTTAGAGCTCAACCTTAAATACCTCTAGACAAAGATGAATGATGAAAGCTAATATCTTATCTAAATACTCTGAGCTTCACTCATATAAAATAATTCAAGAATTTTAAAAGTATGTCTGTGGAGTATACATCTTACACTGTTATATACTCTTATCAATTCATACTAAGTGTCTAATATATGTAAATGTACTATGTTCTGTATGCTATTAACAGTCAAATAATGACAGGCCACAGAAAGTCCAGACTTGCTGATGGTCCTCATCTGTGCTTTGGGAGAGTGGAGGTGCTTCATGGGGAGACCTGGTCCACAGTGTGTGAAGCTGACTTTGACCAGCAGGATGCAGAGGTTGTGTGTCGAGAGCTGGGCTGTGGGCTTCTTGTGGAGGTGCTGGGAGCAGCAGCTTTTGGCAGAGGGGAGGGTCAGGTGTGGTCAGAGGAGCTTTAGTGTAGAGGGAATGAATTTGAGATTACTCTCTGTCCAATATGATCTTCACTCAAAACAAAATGTGAACATGACAATGATGTGGGACTTACTTGCTCTGGTCACTATAAATTATTGACCTCTTATTAAAATAAATTATTAGTATGTGTTTTACAGGTATTAGAGTCTCAGTGTTTACATGTAAAATGAGGAGTGATTGGTATTTTGCCATTCTATTACCTGTAATTGTAATGCCGTTTAACTGCACAGGGGCACGACTGGTGCATGGCTCTGACTCCTGTTCTGGTCGAGTGGAGCTCCAGTACCTCAGTGAGTGGGGCACAGTGTGTGATGTAAGCTGGGATATGAAAGCTGCCAGTGTCCTCTGTGGTCAGCTGAAGTGTGGGAGTGCTGTGGCTGTGTTGGGGTCAGACTGGTTTGGGGAGGGGAGTGGCCGGATCTGGGCTGACGTGTTTGACTGTCAGGGGAACGAAACACACCTGTCAAAATGTCCCATTTCATCATGGAGTCGAACTGCATGCTCTCATAAACAGGATGCTGGAGTCATCTGTGATAGTGAGCACTCAAAAATTTTGTACTCCATTTTAAAGCAATTTCAATGTGTTAGAAAATGACTGTGTCAATCTGTTGCATCATCAAATAGAAGGTGTTTTATTTTATTTTAAGTGTATTTATTTATTTAGTGATTATTTTCTTTTTCAGATTCCTCCCTGGCAATTCATGAGGGGCGAGTGTGGTTGTCTGGAGGGATGGAGTGTGAGGGGGAGGTGGAGGTGTACTTCAGGCAGGACTGGAGGAGAGTTCTGCTGGACTCCTGGAGAGAGTCTGAGGCCTCTGTGGTCTGCAGACAGCTGGGCTGTGGCTCTGTGTTCAGCTTCTCCAGCTCCTCTCCATCCAGTCCTGAACACAGACACATGTGTGTGATGGGTTTCAATTGTTCTGGGAGTGAAGCTCATCTGGGGAACTGCAGCAGTGCACAAGCAGTCAACTGTAGCTCCAGAGAACAGCTCTCAATCACCTGCTCTGGTAAGTGTTAAAACAGTAACAAGTGTTACCAGATCTACTTTGATTTAATGCAAAAATGACCATTTATGCAATTCTCAGGAAAATAACTGCATCCATCATGTGTTAGAATGAAGCATTGTTGTTGTAAATTGTTATGTAGGAGATTGTTTTAACATTTTAGTTTGTGTGTTTTGGCTTTTAATGTAGCCATCAGGCTGGTTGGCTCTGGGGGAAACTGTGCAGGAAGGCTGGAGGTTTTCCACAGCGGCTCATGGGGGACAGTGAGTGATGACTTGTGGGATATTAAGGATGCACAAGTGGTCTGCAGACAGCTGCAGTGCGGAGTGCTCTGGTACCAGCCTGGTTTGGACCTGGAACTGGACCCATATGGCTGAATGAGGTGGAGTGTGAGGGGAATGAGACGTCCCTGTGGAACTGCAGATTTCAGCTGTGTGGAGAAGATGAATGTGGACACATGGAGGATGTAGGAGTCGTGTGCTCAGGTAAAGTGAGCTACTGTAACTGCTGCCAATGTTGAATATTTCAATTCTTTGTATCTTTTGATCATCTTCTAAAATGTATACTAATTAATAATTATACTAGTTTTGTTTGGAGGTGCATCATAAAGCAGTGAATTTAAAACTACACCAAAGTATTCACAAAGTAGTGACAGCAGGTCTTCACTAAAATCTTCATTCTTTATCTTGGTGTGTCTGATGAATATATGTATATTCAATATATACAGACTGATGACAAACTAAAGGAAAAAATAAAGGAGTGGAAACATTAAAAGTGAAACATTATGAGTTCCAGACAGATGAACTGCAAGATACAATTAAGACATTAACGTTTATAGATGCTCTGTGTATAAATTGACCTCTGTTTGGATTCAGGATGGCAAGGACAAATGATCTATGTGAAGTGAAAGAGGATGCATTAGCGAGGCACAGACCAGAGAGGAGCTTAAGACACAAAGACTACTAAACTGCCTTGTGTTTCAGTGGGAACAGAGACATTCACATTTACATCTATGAGACAGCAGTACATGGACTATATATTAGTGTGATATGTAATAAAAAAAAGAAAAGCCGCGGTTTTCTTGCTGGTCAAACCTATGCACCTTCTTCACACAATGATCCAACCTCCACAAAACTTTAATCTCATTACCCAAAAGCAAACTTTCCCATCAAACCCTAAAATATATTGTATAGTTGTAAGAAAGTTTTACCAGCAATACACTGCAGTACAATGTAATGTATATTCCCATAAACTATATATATATATATATATATGGGGCAAATCCAAAATCGAAATCCAAAAACCAGGCCAGAGTCAAAAACCAGAAAAGACAAAAACATACAGGCAACCAGAGCAAAAGGGCAAAGACAAAAAGCAAAATCCAAAAAACAGGCAAAGTGTTCAAAAACACAAGTCAAGAAATCAGAATAACAACGCTCAGTAAACCAGGGAAATGGCAATACCTCGCAATGAGGAGAGCAAACCAAAGACTATTTAAAGTCTGAGACAAACACACACAGGTGAATTGCATTAAAACTCAGGTGACTGAGAACGAGGCAGTTGCATGTGATTGGAGGAATTGGTGACATCATAGGGACTGAAATTATGGGAAATGGAGTCCTGGAGCGTGCTAGGCAAGGAAGGAGAACCCGGAAGCGTGACAATATGTTAACTGTTTTCAGAATATGATTTCTGAATGAACAATATTGTTCAAGCAACTGACAAAAACTGTAATACACTAAGAATATACTGATAATAACATTGCTGTTTTGTATTGTTAAAAATACATGTGAAATGAAATACTACTGGGCAAATGTGCATGCACTGTGGTGTGTGTTCTATGATCTTAAATGTCAGTATACTTTAATTTATTCCAATAAGGCTCATATAGAACACTCTTCATATCACTCACCCCTTTGCGTCGAGTCATTTCCTTTAGTGATGGATCTGTGGTCGATCTCCTCATAGACTGCCTCAGTCAGAGTCTTACGCCTCCTCTTAGAGAGCACTGTGAGGGAGACAGAGAGAAACATGGAGCCAGTTCAGTAGAAGAGAAGACTGATGACAGATTGAAGGACTAATGATGTTTAGAGAATGTACAGAAAGTGGATTGTAGATGATCTCTGAATCTCTCTACCTCTCCTGAGCACTCTGTTCTGGTAAAACAGCACAACCAGAAGCACTAAGGCCAGGAGGAGCACTGCTCCCAGTACCAGGAGAGACACTGGATAGATGGGTGAAATAGGTCGAAGAGTTTCTTCATTCAGGAGTTTCTTCGTTGGCTGAACAACTGAAAATAAAAACAGAAACTGTGTAAAGTGCTGAAAAGTCTATTTAGAAATATTTAGGAAAATGACCTAAGAGACCAACCGGTGGTGGTGGATGTTGTTGATGTTGTGGGTGCAGCAGTAGAAGGTAACGATATCCCTGTAAATACAAGGAAAAAAATACGAACATGTGCTCAGTAGAGTGAAGCTGTTGGTGTTAACTGGCACTTCTAATTCTAACTTATTACAATTTAAGCATTAGATATGTCAGACTTACACTAGGTAAAATTAACAAAAGTGAAACATTGCAGTTTTCTGTGCAGCCTTGCAGACAATTAACACTGGAATAAAAGAGGTTTGAATGGAGTCAAAAGCTCCTCTGACCTGCACAGGTGACTCCAGCATGCTGCCTGTAGGAGCAGTCAGCGTGGTTCTTCAGGGAATGAGGACAGTCCCACATGTATGTATGTATATATATATATATATATATATATATATATATATATATATATATATATATATATATATATATATATTCCAATCGCCAGGCTTAAGTATTTGTCAGTGGTGGGATAGACTGTGTCAGAGGCACCCAAACAGAAGGCCTTAGCATAAATATCATACTGAACTGAAAATTCCAGTGAAATTCAAACATTTATGAACCATGTCATCAATCTTGGCTTATGAAGGTGGAAGACATTCTAACCCAAATCCTAAATCAACACAATCACCTTTACACAAGAACAGACTATTTCACATCCCTCTACTGACATATACTGTCTCCAGCCTCTGGTTTGTCTTTATTTGAGTCAGTGTTGCTTTTCTGTATTCTCACCTTTTCCAGTGAGTATGGAAAATAGCAAAAAATACAATATCTGATTAAAACTTTCCAACAGTTTCCTTTATATACATTTACAATCATCAGTTTAACAGTTAACTATAGTAGACTATGTAGTTTAGATGGTTGCTGAAGGTAGATATAACTATGAGAGCATTTTTATTAGTTGTGAGTACGTTTCACTTTTGTTTTATACAGTAATCCAATGAACATTTTTTTGTTTTATGGGAGATTTGTGTTAAATGCTTTGGAAAAGTGTGTGAAAAGTGAATAAAAACAATGAGAATTTGTTAATGCATTTGTAACTATAAGCTGTTGCTTTGCTAAGAACATAATAAAGATTAAGTTGACTTCAGCAATCAAGAAAAAATAATTAAAGATATCAGCCAAATGAGAGTTTAGTGTATATTAGATGAAATGTGCAGTTAGAGTAGATCTACATGTAGTGTAGTGTTAATTCTGCTGATAAGCATCTATTAGGCAGCTGAAGTTAAACTGTGTAATTCCTGTAAAACTTCCATTTTTGTACATACAGAGAAACCACACAGCTGCAGGTGTGTGTGTGTGAGAGAGAGAGAAAGAGAGCGAGAGAGAGAGGGAGAGAGAGAGAGAGGGGAGAGGATGGAAATGGAGAGAGCAGGAAAGACACACTGTGTGTGTGTGTGCGTGTGTGTGTGTGTGTGTGTGTGTGTGTGTGTGTGTGTGTAGGTGTTTGTCGGAGTCACTGAGAGAGCGAGCCCATCAATCCGTAAGTGACTGACTGAATGACAAGTGAATAAACAAGTGGGCGAGTGAGTTAGTGTCCGAATGAGTGACCAACAGAGTTTGTGACAGAGTGAGTGACCGAATGAATGAGTGACAGTGACTGAATGAGTGATTAAGTTAGTGATTGATTAAGTGAGTAAATAAATGAGTTAGTGACTGAGTCAGTGTGTGACTGAGTGACTTACTGAGTGATTGTCTACATGACAAGGTGAGAGTGACCAAGTGATGAGTAAAATTGATTAAATGAGTGGTAGAGTGACTGATTAAGTGGCTGAAAAAGTGAGTGATTAGGTTAGTGATCAAGTGACTGACCATCTGAATGAGCAAGGGACCGAGTGAGTGAACAAGTGACCGTGTAAGCAAATGAATCACCAAGTGAGCAACCTAGTGATTAAACATGTGAGTAATTGAATGAGTCAGTAATGAAGTGAACTAACAAGCGAATGAGTGACCGAGAGAGTCTGCTGACTGAGTGATTGAGTGACCAAGTATTGAATGAGTTACCAAGTGATAAAATGACTGATCAAGTAGGTGACCAAGTGACTGAGTGACAGATTGAGTGACTAAGTGGCCAAGTGGCCGAATGAGTGACCAAGTGATAAGTGAGTGATGAGTGAGTGACTTGGGTGACCAAGTGATTGATCAAGTGAGTCAGTATGGCCAGTTGACCAAGTGATTGAGGGAGTAAGCAAGTAAATGAGTGAATGAACAAGAGAGTGGCCAAATGATTAGTGACTGACCTAATGAGTGGTCAGGTGAATGAGTGAGAGACTAATTGATTGACAAATATGTAGGTCCACAATTGAACCATTTCAGAAAAATGTAGGAAATTAGATATTAAAGGAAGTTAATTAAAACTATTTGGATGAAGACTGTGAGCTAGTAAGTCAGTCAATCAGTCAGTCAGTCAGTGAGCGAGTGAACCAGTGTGTGTTTGTTTTTGAGCAGCGTGTTTTTGCCAAGAGGAGGCAGCACCGTTATTCATCACTCTAACACAGTGATCCAGTCTCATACTGGACTCTGCTGCTTTGTCCTATTTACACAATATCACTGATGATGAAATTCCACTGTAACAAAGCACTAATACTGTTTTTCTGAGTGTGGTCATCCACAGCCTACCTGATAAAATGAATGTTCCTCATTTCATAATCTAAATTTATCCATAAACGTTATTAATGCAAGTTCCTCCATCCTAATGGCCCACGCAAAATGTACTTGAGTGCTAATGGCTCTACTTTGTGGAGAACCTACTAAACTTTGAGTGTGAGTTTTAAGCCAATGGGTAAATTATATTATTTGATTTGTAATAAATAATCATTAATAATGTGTTTAATTTATATGGTGTCTTTTTCAAACTCAAAGATGCTGCACAACAGTAAAAAAAAAAACACAAATCAAAAATAAAAAAAAAGCTTATCACACACACACACGCGCACACACATATACACACACACACACATACGCATATACACACACAAACACTCACACAGTTCCCTGGCTGGTGAGGAAAAAAATCCCCAAATCACAGAATAAAGTCTCATAAAAACACATTAGCTGTGGTGTAAAGTTTCTTAGTTGGCTGGCCTAGAAAAACTCCTTAACTGTGGTGTAAAGT